TAGTTCTGGGTCTACTTGTCCAAATTTCACTCCATCTTTGCTAGCAACCAAATATCCATAAACTAAAGAAAAAAAAAATCACAGTGCTGCAGCCATTAAATTTTATTATAGCAGTTTTGAGTAGTTGCCATCTAGGGAAGGGGAGATGCTTAATCTAAGAACTGAAATTAATTTATTTTACATTATCCTTCAAACCAGAAAACTACTTTGGCATACTAAGATTATTTTCATGTTCCCAGGGTGCATATAAATGTCACTTTCTGAAAGTCAAAGCTGGAAATGTAAACCACAAAAATCCAATACTGCTACCACAACTTTTATTACAGCCACATATCTTTATAGTGCAGTTATGGCTGTTACGCTGTTATTCCCTTACTTCCTAAACATCTGCTGAGTGCTGGAGGTACAAAGATGAGGTGTCTGCCTCGGGGTGGCCATGCGTTTAGACAGATACCAAACCCCACCAGGAATGCAGAGGAAGCACATTCTGATTCTCATGATTCTAGAATCAGTTGGAAAAGATGAGCTAGTCCAACCATCAGCCCACCCCACCATGCCCACTGAACCATGTCCCGAAATACCACACCTACACTTTTCTTGAACTCCTCCAGGGACGGTGACTCCGCCACATCTCTGGCAGCCCTGTGCCAGTGAGTTCCCAGAAAGTCATTAGGGGAAAGTCCGCCCTGCTGCACTGTAGCTGTTCTGTTGTAACCTGCCGGTATAAACATTGGTGTGAAATAAAAGCTTACGTGGGGAATTATTCCAAAATCTCTTTGAGAAATGGTTATTAATAAATGGTTGGCTTGTTAGTTCAGCTCTGCAAACTGCCTCTTAGTGCATGTGCATATATACGTGCTTAGGAAAGGAGAGTGAGTCTTCTCTACTGACCCAGGATATCTTCAGAGTAGGGAATGAGACTGGGAGCCAAGACCTGAATGTTGACAGCAGTTAATGCTCTTCAAGTTCTTTAACTAAAATCTGACACATAAATTCTAATTCCTGTACCAGATATCAAGGCTAATAGATGGCAGGGGACTTAAGATTCTGAGCTTAAAGCATGGAAATGTCACCAGAGCTTTAAAGGTGCTGCTCCACTTTGCAAGACAGGCAACAGTAAAAAGGGTTTTTCATGCAGTGATTAAGACTTCTCTGTCATCTCTTTATGTAACCCTTTTGCCAGGCAGGGTGGGCTGTTCACACAAGAATGTGCATAATCATTTCCGCACTGCTGCAAGAGTACATCTGATGTGTGTGGGAAGTGGTGCCATGGGAAGCTATCGCAGTCACTGCTGAGCCGGGCACTGCAGCACGGTGGGGACAGGCTAACTCTGAGAGGCTGCAAAGCACTGAGATGTGTGATAGCATCGCATCCTCTCCTCCACAGGGAGGGGACGAGGAGGGTCTGCAATGTCATCTCCTGCTTCACGTCTAGGGGCTGCTTTTGGTAACAGCTCTTTGCTTTGGCTATATTTGTCAAGCCAAAAGGAAAGTAAATTGTGAGTAATTTGCATTAGGACAGAGCTATGAGAAAACTTTCACCTACCCAGGCAGAGTTATGTAAGCCTTGTTTTTCTTCAAATCATTTGCCAGAAAAACAAACCATTTGGAAAGGGCTTGGGCTCCTTCTTCATGCAATCCGCACTGAATCCACACTTTCTACCATTATTCCCTGCTGTGTTTTCTCAGCCTGGCAGAAGACAGGAATTAACTTCTGCCCTGGCTGGAAAGCAGAATTCATGGCTGTGCCAGGGGCTCAGTACTGGCTTGGGCAGCTCCTGGGGGCAGCTGCAATGCTTTGGCTGGTGAGATTTCAGCAGGAGGGAGTCGGGCCCCTGCACCAGCTGGCACTGGTGAGAGAGGATGTGCCTTGGTGGAACTCAAAGATGCCCAGCAGGGGAAGGGAGCAGGAAGGAGTCTGCCTTGCAGGAACACAACAGTGTGCATCCTTATAAACCTTCAACACACCTGTCAGGGAGGTTTCCAGCATCACACTTGCTGTACAGAGAAGAAAGGGGTCCTCCCATCCATGCCCATGTCCATGTCCATGCCCACAGCCATATTCATGCCTGTGTCTACACCCATGACTATGGCCGTCCCCATATTCCAGTCGATGTCCATGCCCATGCCCAGGTGAACCCCAAGTCCTCCAGTATAGACAATTCAGGCTCAGGCAGGGAAAGGCTTCTACCTGTACAGGTTTTATCACAGCATGGAGACATGTTTGAGAAAGCAGAGCAGCTGTGTGGTAACCCTCACTTCCTACCTTTCTAAACATTCTCCCTGATCAAGGGATATTTTAAACCTGGAGCCAAATCTGACTTGTAAAGGCTTCTGCTGTAGAGCAAGGTGTAGCCAGCAGCCTCCAGGACATCACGGGAACTTCTCTGGTGGTTTGTCCAGCCTGCTCCTCATGTTAAGTCGGTGGAGGCCAGATAATATAAATTCAAAGAAGGCAATTTTCATTCCTTAAAATGTTATTGCACAAAACGTGAATACTGTTAACATTTTCAGTGTTAGTTTAGAGATTTTGCTATGCATTGTACGCATTCAGAGAGCTAGTTCTGGCCAATATCATGAATTTCTTCTGTGAAAATTGCTGCGCTGGGGAATGTCCCTGTTTGTAGGCTGAAAGGGATGACTGCCTGACTGAGAGCAATGGCTGGCCCTTGGGCCCTGTAGTGCTAACTGAGGTACATCAGCTTGGGGAAATCAAGCTGGGAGGGCTGTATTTGGGCAGTGGAGAAGGGTAACATGGAAACCTTTTCCTGAATACACAGAAGGAATTGAGTGATGGCCAAAGCTGCATTGCAGGCAAGATTATTTTCTGGTTCTGTGAGAAGAATGTGATCAAGGAGTGCTCCAGGCTGTGGGGACTATGCAAGTGGAAATTACACTTACAGGTGTCACTCATCAGCTGATTTATGTTCCTGGGTCTGAGACCTGTCATTTTGATTTTGTTCATTACAGCTCCCTCAAAAACTAAAAATAAAAAAAAAAAAGGAAAAATTGGGGGAAAAAAAAAAAAAAGAAAAAAAAAAAGAAAAGAAAGAGAGAGAGAAGGGGAGAGAAAATGAGTATTTATACTCTTTCATGTGAAAAAAAATCTCTGGCTAAAGGTCAGTACTGCTAATGACTAACTCCAGACATGTATGATGCACACAGTGTGCCTGTCTGTAAGCACTACGTTGCATTAGCTGGCAGACCCATGGTAAAATAGCAGCATCCTGGCCTCTGAGGTCAAGGCTGAGCCTTCTTCATCAGCTTCAGTATTTGCTCCGATAATACAAATTTCTGCATGGATCCCCGGGCATTGGATGTTTCTGAGGATGCTTTCCCCTTTAGACTCTGTACCAAGAGCTCACAACTAGCATGCCTCCATGAGAAAAGCACTCAAACTGTGCAAAAAAAAGAAGAGCAACATCGTAGGTGTGCTGAGAAGATGCAAGGTGAAGGTCCTACCGCTTTTGGATGGAGTCCTGTTGACTGTCCTCTCCTCATGTACTCTGAGTCAAAAGCTGGAGAGGAATCCATGGCACTGTGCAGCCCATAATGCCCTCCACACCTGTCCCCACTGCATCCCCTCAAACCCTGCAGTCAGCGGGGAATGACGCTGAAAGCAAAGAACGAGCAACATTAGTATGAGAAATAATGATACGGGGAATCCTGGATAGCATGAGGTAAACAACACAAAGACGGAGCAGCCTCCCACTCCCAGAGACTGTATCTCACACTGCGTTGTCTTCAATCATTACCCAGCAGCTATGACATGCAGTAATCTACTTCTTCAGCTTCATTTAGGATTTACATGACAAAGTCTTATCAAAATAGAACTACAGGGAACGCAAAACAAACACTTAATTAGAGTGTTTCTAATTAAATCCAGTAGGATGAGCACATTACATGAATGTCATTTCCAGTGGTGTCCCGAGAAGTGACAAAGCAAAGTGGCTGTGAGGTGCACACCCTGTGGAGCACCACCACACTCTGGTTTCTATCAGAGATGTCTCCAGAAGCTGCTGGCAAACCACAGCTGGCAGTGGCCTCTGAGAGCAACGCTTCCCTGGTTGTCACTGTCACAGCCAGCTCTGTTTTGAGAGAAGCTGGGTGAAGGGAGGGATGAATGGGAAAGCAACCCACAGATTTCTTGCAGCTATGGCTGAATGTGAGTTAAAGTGGCCAATTTCAGTGCACAGACTTGGAATGATATACACCTTATTCTCGGAAAATGTGTGTTTATAGATTAAGAAAAGGGAGATTAGCTGCAGAGACAGGAACTGAGGCAAAATTTTGGGGAGAATCCTTCAGACCTCCTTCCAGAAAATACCTGGGATTATGTTTTTTCAAAATGTATCTGTTTGATTCTGTTTGTGAGGAGCCAGAGGCTGAGTAGGTCCAGAAGGATTAAGTCAGTTGTGTTTGTGTAGTCTATGACAACAGAGTGGTAATTTCTTTCAAAAATAATGCCCACCACCTCAAAAGAGGATCTTAGCAAAGGGCACTGGGAGCTGTACTTCTTCCCCAGCAAAGCACACATTTCAAAGAAAAGCAGCCCAGGGTGCAGCCCTAGGACCAGCTTTAGGACTTGCAGTCGTACAGAAAAACTGATTCTGGGAGATACACGTTTCAGAAGTTTTGTTCCATCTCCTTGTTCATTTTTTTTTTTGTGTGTGTTTTCCTCTGTTTGAGGGATCTGGTGCTGGAGGCTGGGTTACCCTCAGGGAACAATGGTTGGCACACAGGCACAGCAGGAGTGCTCTTCACCCTGCCTTACTCCAAAAGAAGGGCTGGGGAGGTCACAAGGCCCCAGGAAATCCTATTTTTCTATGCCTCGCAGTTGTTGTTTTTCTACTCCTTGTGCCCAGATGCAAGAAGACAACATCTTTCACTGCTGTTCACCTTATGCTGCTATGTTTCTCCACACTGCATGTGAACTGCACTAAAATCAAGTCTCAGCTGATGACAGACTTGCCAGTGGGACTTGAAGACTCCATACTGTTTTATTTGTACTGTAGAGAAGACTTGCAGCAGGATATTTATAGTAAGTCTATATGTAGAAGAATATTGTAATGCACTGGAAATAGATTGCCAGCAAAGAAATAGCCTTTATTCACATGTTCTCTATCATAATCTTCACAAAACTGCCAAATGAGACCAACCCCTTTATTGCATTTGGCCATCAGCAGGCAGCAATGCTGTGCACCCTGACCAGGAAGATGGGACTGGAGCCGTCATGGAGCCTGGGATCAGCACGGGGCAAGCCATTTTTTGTTAAGTCTGAGTGAGGTATCAAAGCAACCACAACGTCTGGGGGAAATGCGTGGTGAAGACTTCACAAGATTAAAGACCATAACTACCACTTCTCATCTTGGTTATCTGCAAGACACTAAGAAGTGTCTGATAGGTGGCAAATTAAACAAAAGAGGCACAAACAGATGCAACTAGATCTTGGAGAAAACAGCCCTGGGCATCTTCAAGGAGTGTAGATATAGTTTGAAAGCCTAAGCTGGAATGAATGAACTTCACAAAGTCAACAGGACTTACACATCAGCACAAGGAAAGAGGTCAGTCCCAGGGACAAGAAAGGTGGGAATTTCTGGCTTAGTAGCACTTATGCTGAGCGATTAATCTCAGCATTTTGCTAAAAAGTCAAACGTGGCTTTCAAGGCAGGAGTTCATGCAATAACCAGGTTTTGTGGGACACAACACAAAGTAAAAATTAAAGGTGTCAAAAACCATTCTTCACACCGCAAAGACCTCGTATACTAATTATTTATTTTGTGCTGAGATCTTTTGTGATCAAATGAAAAAGTGTTTGGACAATGGTCTCAGATGCAGGGTTTGAATTTCGGATGGTCCTGTGTGGAGCCTGAGGTTGAACTCAGTGACCCTTGGGGGTCTTGTCCAACTCGGGCTATGCTATAGTTCTCTCTGTGACTTGAAGACCTTCCCATTGGCAACTGGAAAGGTCCAAGTCGCGGTGTGGTACCAATGCGCTCTCAGCTCAATAGCTCCAGCTTTGCACCACCACCCTGCAACACCAAGGATGGGCCTGGGCTGCACGCACACAACATGGCAACGTAGCATAACCAAAATCTGACTTACTTCTAGGAGGTAAAAATCTGCTCTTAATGCAAAATTAATCTTCAGTGACTCACAACTCCATTAAACCTCATAGAAATCTTTGTGGTGGTGACATTTATTACCAAAGTAACAGTTATCACCTTGATTATTTAGTTAGAATAATCTTAATGAGTGCTCTTGTCAGCATTTCTTGGATAAACTTCTCTTCTCTGCACAAGAGCACTTCACACTTGCAGACCAAAATAGATCTCCATCAGCCCACAGATTCCAATTACAGGCTTATGGCTTTGGACACTGCCTTGAGGCTGAGCTATCAACAGTTTTATTAGCAAATTGCAACGATAAACCTACACCTGTGTGGAAAGTTTTTCTTTATGTATTTTTCTTTCCTACCATGTTATTGTCTTCAAAATAAAAGCTATCATTTTCTCTGTTCTTTCACAGCACATTGTTCTAATCAATGCTGTTTACCTTTCCTTTCATCTATTTGCACCTTAGAAGGCTGATGAAAACAAAAACTATATTTTGCCAGATAACAGTTGACAGAGAATAGTTTTAATTTAATAGAACCATGGCTTTATTAGTTCTGGATATGATAGTTTAGCACCACCATGTTCTTACCCAGTCGGGTTATTACAGACCCAGCAAAAACTTCACATATAATGGGTGTCAACGTAGATTGAATTTAATCCTATGAAGTTTACCTTACTAACCTCTCTGATATCACTGCAGGAAAGTCATGCTCAGACCAATGCTTAACAGTTAATTGTATTTCTTGGCACTTCAAAAAAAAACCAAACCAAACCAAAACAAAAACCAGGCTATCTGTGCCACATTTTACCCAGAGAGTTAAGTTCCAGTTAAGAGTTTTAAGTAACAAATAAATAAATAAATAGATAATCTCTACTAGTCTGTTAATAAGATAGCTCAGAAACATCTTAGGAGAAAGGAAAATCATAAATAAACATTTTTGATCCAGTTACATAAAATATTTTCCTTTTGGCATATGTTTTTTTACAAATAAGAAAAAATCCTATGGCTCTCCAAGAAAGACACCAAAGGGGATTATTCCCTGCTTGCCTTGTCCCATGGTTTGTGCAATGTGTTTTTACATTAACCTCAAAAAGAGGGAACATTTGGAAGATGAACCATAACAACTTTGAAATTTGTTATGCATCAGTAGAAAATTCATTTGAAGTCTAATGAGAAATTAAATTATGACTTGTTAATGCAATTTCATCTTTTTATCCAGCACACACAGTTCTTCAAAACTTAATCAAATACTGGTATTGAATTTTTAAAATGAATGCTACTTATAACAGATAATTTGAGATTTCACTTTAAATTGTAGCAGCTTTGCAACCTTAAAAGCCACCAAAAAAGGAATGGTAGATCTTAGATGCACTTTATTTTCATTTTCCATTGTTTACATGGCTTGAGCTATTGTCAGTGATAATGAGGATGACTCCAAAAGCAGAAGCAGATTGCCTTGTCCCTTAGCCTGCAGGCAGTGAGGAAACAGGAAGCCAAAGATGGGGCAGTCAAAGCCTCGCTGTTAGGTGCTCCTCTGTTGCTCAGCAGCTTACGCTTACCTGAGACCCTTTTCAGCTTTCTGAAGCAAATGTACTTCTGCAAATATCAAAACACCAGAATCACTGCACCTGACCTTGCTGTCTTCTCATATAGCTGCACCAGGAAGAGGAAATGGAACTGGGAAGGAAAAGAGATGCAGATATAGAAAATTATTTAGAAAAGCGATGTTTCAGAGGAAAGAATGTCCATCAATATCATAATAACAACCATCTTAGATTTCAAAAATGTATGAGGTGCAGCGTTATAGTCTTGTAAAATTACATACTATCTAGTTCAGTAATGCATACAATAAAAATCCTTGGATTTGATTATGATGATGAAATGAAAGCTCTGCATGGAATAAAATAAAGCTCTTCTGGTATCCCACAATATCTTACAGCTTACAGTGCTGTAGACAGAGGTGCAGAGGTTTGATAGCCAAGTATTCGATACATTTTTTCTCCCTCTACAGCACAGCAATATCCTCACTTTCCGAAAGAATATAACAATTTGGAGTTTTTTCCTCTAGATAGAAGTGATTGATAGCTCAGAATAGTGGCAGGTAACGTGTCACAAGCAAAGGGAATTGCCAGTTCTCCTCTGAGCTCCAGCCCCAAGTAGCAAACACAGGAGCTGCCGAAGTCATTGGGCTAAAAGGTAAGGGAATCATGAAGCTCAGGAAGAGCTGACACCCCACCATGATAAACAGTTGAAAGGATCAGACAGATAGTAGATTCCTGGTGTGGAAGTCTATGCAATCCAAAATAAGTTCCCTGAGCACTTTCTCTGTGCAGAGACAAGTCTTTGCCATGCAGCACATCTAACAGACCAAATGAGGCTGATGTGACAGACCTAATGAGTTGAGATATGCAGCAGGAAACTGGGGAAAAAGACATTGCCTTGAATGACCCAGGGTAGAGCTGTACTGTAAGAAGAGATTTGGGCCTTTTTTTTTTTTTAATTTCTTTCTTCTTAAAGAACATTGTTTGCTGTGCATAGCAGAGGGGTCAAACCCAGCTCCTTTCAAGCAAAGCCAGGAGACACACAAAGCTGAAAGTGAATTCCTCCATGTACAATGCCCTGACTACACTCATGCCCCACTAAGACCTGGGGGAACCCATCAGGGTCACTGAAAGTTAAGCTGAGTCAGCCTTGAAATCATCCTCATCATGAGACATTTCTGTTTATGGAGGTTCTTGATCATGGACTGATGCATTTCTAAACCAGATGCTGACCATCTGCTCTGATTTCCAGTATGACTTAGGTTCAAAAACGCATACAAGACATTTCAAGCCCAGTCCATCAGGTCATGATTAAACCCAGGTTGTTCTGCAGGAATCCATTCTCATCACTGGCTTGATGCAGAGGCAGTGCCATACGGGCTGTGCACTTCTATGTACATAGAGAGTTGAACAGTTCCAAGCACTGACCCGCAGTGTTTAACCACCAGAACAGATCCAGTCCCTGCCCAGCAACAGCACCGAGCAGACTTCTGGTGAGGAACATGGGCACAGCCGCTGTGGTTGCGGGACTGGAGAAGGGAAGAGTTTGGCCATACAGGCAGGAGCCATGTTTTCTCATGCCCATGGAAGAATATAAATAATGTGTTAAACAGATAATGGCAATGTAATGACTACAGAGCAACCATAGCTGGTGTACTTGATACCTACAGCTCGCAGTTGATGTAGAACTTGGCAAATGTTTTGTGATTCTTCCTGGATCTTCTAACACAATACATGATTGATTGAACTGCTCCCTCATGCCACTTTCAGGAATGGCAAAGATCTGCCAGTGAACATCAAAGATTCTGTCAGAAAGACCCAAAAATGCAACAGCTTCTCTTCAGTGGTGAACGGCACCGGTCTTCCAGCAAACCCAGGAGATATATATCAAATGTTCTGCATAATCACTGGTGCCCCAGCTTCCATCAGACTCTTGCAGGATCCCTCAGCCTGGAGACAGAGCCTGCACATCATGCAGTGCTGGGGCTTTGGGCTGGATGTTGTCCACAAATGTGAGAGGATACTGCACACAAGAACAAGAGTTAATGAGCTATAACTTACCCTGATCTCTGTGTTGCGAGTTCCATAAATTGTATTCATCAATGGATGTGATTTACAGCAAGATCCCCATCTGGAATACTGTGTCCAGGTGTGGAGCCCCCAGTACTAAAAAGACAGGGTGCTGTTGGAGAGGGCCCAGAGGAGAGCCACAAAGATGATCGGGGGACTGGAGCACCTCCCCTATGAAGACAGGCTGAGGGAGCTGGGCTTGTTCAGCCTGGAGAAAAGAAGGCTGCAGGGTGACCTCATTGCAGCCTTTCAGTACCTACAAAAGGGAGGTACTGAGCCTACAAACAGGAGGGGAATCAACTCTTTGAAAAGCTGCAAGACAAGGGGAAATGGTTTTAAGCTGAGGGAGGGGAGATTTAGGTTGGATGTCATGGGGAATTTCTTTACAGAGTGGTGAGGCACTGGAACAGGCTGCCCAGAGAGGTTGAGGATGCCCCATCCCTGGAGGTGTTCAAGGCCAGATTGGATGGGGCCCTGGGCAGCCGGTCTAGTATTAAATGGGGAGGTTGGTGGCCCTGCATGTGGCAGGGGGGTTGGAGCTTCATGATCCTTGAGGTCCCTTCCAACCCCGGCCATTCTGTGATTCTGTGAAGATTCTACTGCATCTCTGAGCTTGGAAGAACTGCAAGGATGTGAGCAAGGTGCCAATTACAGCAGGTCACATTGGGATTCCTCTCATTCACTTCTCCTGATGCTTGCAGAGCCAGCTTCCACTGCAGCTCCTGGCACAGAACTCACATTAATTAGGCTCCTAGTGCAAGATTCACGTTATCAAGTGGGTAGGAATACAGATGCAGCACAACTTTGTCCACTGGCCAGCCCCACTTCTGCCCCAGTGCTCTCCATAGCTCCACCCTCCCCCCCACAGCCCCATCTCTGGCTGCTGCCACCCTGATCAGGAGCCCTCCTCGCCTCAAGCAGCTGGTGACTGCGTCCCCAGGAAAAAACAACAAAAAAATAACCACCCGTCAGCAGCAGGGCCATGAGACGCTGCTGCTGCGTGGGAGCGGATGCCAAGGAACAGCTGAGCAGGGGGCTGGGGTTTATTTTTAATTGGTAAAGTAAATTTGCCTTCTGCATGATTCTTTCTTTTTTTCTTGCAGGCGATGTAAGCAGAGTCAGTGAAAGGCACAGAATGAGCCCTAGCACAGAACTGCTGCAAACCACAGTGCTTGCCATCCCCACCTCACCCACAGACAGCAGCTGCCTTCATGCTACCCCCTGTGCTGACACCAACGGCCCCCTCAGCCCTGCTCTGCCCATAGGTCTGCACTCACTCCATAGTGCCCAGACCACGGGGCATGGCTCCTCACCGCTGTGTGCTTGGCCAGAGGGAACCCTTGGGATGCAACCCTTTACCCAGCAGAACCACGTCTGCAAGACCCTTGGAAAGTTTACTGGCTGATCTAACAATCCCGCAGATACATTTATGAGCCTGTAAATTCCCTGCCATGGAAGCAGCCCCAGGAGCCAAGAGCAATGTATGCAGCGTTCCCTGCCAGCCTTCTCTGCAAGGCTGTGTGCTGGCAGCCAGCAGACCCGCAGGACGGACATGGCCCCAGTCATCCCCAGCGAAGGCCCTCTTTTATGGCCTCGTGTTTCTCCCTTTCATCCCAGTCACCATAAAGACAGCTGCTGCTGACAAGTCATCAGCTCCAGATGAAGTCTTCAGGGATGCCACTGAGAACTAAAGGAACCCCCTCCCAGCTGTGCAGCCCCTTTGGTAGCCTCCTGCCCTGTGGGGGCACATCATGGCCCAGGGGTGCTCACAGGTCTGCTCATGGGCTTCTGCTTCAAAAAAAATTCACCTGTGCTCTAGTGTGCTCTGAAATACTGCTGAGAGTTTGAAAGGGCAAACACAAGCCAGCGTGGTGCAAAACCATCCTAGCTTTGGTAGAGTGGGACTGTGCCGTGGTGGCAGATCCCAGGTGGAAAGGTTTGCTGGGTGGGCACTGTGCTGCAGCCAGGCAGCTCCTGCACCTTGGTCACTGCCTGACAGAGGATCCCCTCTTCCTCATAACACAACTCAAAGGCAGTGCTTCCTGAGGCACGGCTGTGCCCGACACTGAGCATCACAGGGAAGTACTTGGGCAGGAAAAAATCTGGAACTGCACTAAGAAATTTCTCTGGGCAGCCAAACGTCTCCTGCAGCTCTGAAGTTCAAGTTGATTCCAGTGCCAGAGGCTTTCAGCAAACGAATAAAAACTATTTGCCCGCTAACGCTTCTCCTGGAGCTGCCAACTGCAAAGAAGAGAAAAAAATTCCAACTGCTCTGCCGCTCCCCAGAGGCCTGCTTCTTCCCCAGCTCTCATTTCACATACATGCACTGTGCTTCCCTACCTGTACAAACTGACATGCGCTTTATGCATGTGCTGTTTCTGCAGAACACAACGCAGAGCAGAGTGCCACCCCTATCACACAAGCAGCCCTCTGGCTAACATAGCAGGCTATGGCTATTGTTATCACCTGGGCATCTTCAACCGATGTTTCTCTCCCAGAAACAGCCCTGGAGAACTTAGCAGCTGATAAATGAGTATTTGCTGACTCGAGGGCTCCACCAGGAGGAAAACCAGCCCTGGTCAGCCCTTAGCCTACCACGATGGGTGGGAACGGTATCAGCTTGCCTGGGCTGGCTGCAGCTCCAGGTACAGCTATGCATATTGTCCTCACTCCGTTTTTCACTGTTTTTCTTTCCAGCAAGAGCTGGGAATTATCACCTACCTACTGAACTTCACAGCAGTTTCGTGAAGGCTGGGAGTATGCCGTCAGCTTGTATTAAGCACCTGTGGTTTATCTGTTTTTCCTCAGACCCATGTTCTTCTGCTTGAAAGAAAACATGAGGAGTTGCAAAGGTGGCTGCAGGTATTATAAAAGCAGGAGTTGTCCTTACTCAAGGCTTCTGAACAGCTGCATCTCAGTCCACAGAAAGTGAGTGGTGTGAGGCAAGCAGCGAGGCCTTGTGGAATGGCAGGCAGACTGCGTGGTGCCACACAGTGCTAACCCATCCCACCAGGACAGGATGGAGCCCACAGCTCTCATTTAAGTGCCCCTTCATAGCTGGCAAGGCATAATGCTGCATTTCTCCTGGCATCTTCTTGTAGCAGCAGCATGGTATTTATTCCTGTTGAGCTTGGGTTCCTTTCCATAGCACTGCTCTTGAGTCCAGCAGATCCCAACGCTCCTGGATCATGCCATCCCAGGCACAGGATCCAATGCTTGTCTTTGCTGACCTTCATAGGTTCTTGTTAGCTCACTCCCTTAACCTGTCAAGGTCTTGCTGTAGGGTGGCTCTCCCTTCAGAAGTGTCTGCTTCCCTACTTAATTTAGTGTCACCAGCAAACTTCATCGGGGCACATTCAATCCCACCATCCAGATAGTTTATGAAGACACTGAATAGCACAGGGCCTTGTATCAATCACTGAGGTACCCCACTCCCAACTGGTTGCCAGCTTGAAGAGAAGACATTGCGATCACAACCTCAGTCAACATCTCCATCTCCTGATATTCAGGTATTTTTCCCCAAACAAACACTTTTCCAGCCACTGAACAGGGGAGGAGCAACCAACCACCCCAAAAGGCAGAGGGCTGCTTCCCTCCAGCTCCAGGTATCAGACACAGCACAGTGAAATTACTTTCCTGGAGTATTTCTTCTTTCAATCTGAAGGACTCCCAAGAGGTTCCTCCTTTATCCAGAAAATTCCAGGACAAAAAATGTTCTCTGTTCCCTAAACTGCATACTCTAGAACAAGAAACAGCGAGTCAAGAGCTCACAAAGCAGAAGACAGCATACAGGCACATTTAGCTTTCTCCCAGAAACCACCAGCTAAGAACACCAAGTTTCTCTGGCACAGCTTAATTATATCCTTTTAGACCACAATAAAGCACACAACTGGCAAACAAAGGCATGTTCCTATCCATGTTCAAGTGTTATTGAAACTACAGAGATATTTTACACACAAATAGAGTTATGAGCTGTGATCACTTTGGTATCTCGTGTACATTTAGAAAATCTGAGCACAGAATAGTTTCATCTTTAAACCATCTGTATACTCCCAATTGACAGCACTCAAAACAAATGCTTTTTATTTCTTTCAGTGACATCAAAACATTTTCCATTCCTCCAACAACTGAACCATTTATAGCATATTCTCCAACATCAATACAGTATTTGCAAAAGGTGCTGGATTTTAACTCTGGATTCCACAGTTCTCTTGCAGTTACAGAGCATTACTTAACGACAGCAGATCAACTTTTGTCTCTGTATTTTCCAGGTCTCCCTCTATCCCCACAAGTAGTTTATGTCAAATGATGCAAGCTATTCTCTAGGAAAAAACACAAAGCTGTCCTGTTCATATGCTCACTACGTATTCCATGATCTCACTGTGGCCAAACAAAAACTCAGTTTTGCTTCTAATGTTCACAGCAGAGAAAGCTGTTCACTAGGAATTATGCTACTGCAGTGAACTCACTTCATGGAGCGCAGCTACCTGGGGCTGTGGCTAATCTAGGCTGCTGGAGAAACAACCCTGAACCACCCCACCACCACTAAACACTGCCAGCTCATCTCATGCCAGGTATATTTAGAGCAGCACAAGTTGTTTGCAACAACAGAAAGGACTTATAAAAGCTCGCATACAAATTGCTTAATCTTGTGAAAAAATGCTGGGGTTTAATCAAGCAGAACTCTTTGTCTGGCTCATTCACACTTATGTCATCCTGGGGGAAAAAAAAAACCTCTCTATTTGCAAACAATCCACCTGTACATGCACAATATCCCTTCCACCCTATCACTGCAGTATTTTAAGGTCTTCTTCAAAAGCTCCATTTTCAGCATGCAGTGTAAAGGGACTTCAAATCGTGGGGGCGCAAACTGGAGCACACTAAAAACCCAACAGCAGTCCTTCGTAAGATGCTGCCAATCCATGCTACTTCAAGATTTGTTTCTGTAAGATTTAATACCTTGTTGCAGAAGTTCCACTGTGACAATGCTTTTAATGGTTCACATTAAACACGCAAGTTGAAGTGCCTCAGTACGTCATTAGTGCCTCTCCACAGCTCAAGCAGCATGTTTGTAGCACCTCAAG